TTGATATTTCTAAACATTATGGATAACTATAAAAGCAGTACATGGTGTTGCTTTGTAGGATTTTATGTCTGAAGATGTGACCTTTTGCGGTGTATTTGATGGACATGGTCCTTATGGTCATCTTGTTGCTCGTAAAGTGAGAGAGACATTGCCTGTGAAGTTACAGTCTTTCTTTCAAACGATTCAGTCGAAGCAAAACGGTTCTAAAGGGACTCGATTCAGAAGAAACTCGAGCAAATCAGCTGTTCAAGAAGCTGTTAAAGAAGGATCTGATGAGGATAAACTAAAAGGCTTGTGGGGAGAAGCTTTCTTGAAATCGTTTAAAGCCATGGACAAGGAACTGCGGTCTCATCCTAATGTGGACTGTTTCTGTAGTGGCAGCACTGCTGTTACAATTCTCAAACAGGTAAATCTTGAGAACAAAAGAGCTCTCTTTTTCGGTTTCATACCATGTTTCTTCTGACCTAGATGATGTCTTTTGATTGCTCAGGGGTCTAATCTCTTTATGGGAAACATTGGGGATTCTCGAGCCATCCTTGCATCGAAAGACAGTAATGATTCTATCGTGGCAACTCAACTAACCGTTGATCTGAAGCCGGATTTACCAAGTATGCTTGACACCTTTTCAAAATGTTTTTTGTTTTTCTGGTGTATATGCATTTAGCTAATTAGGATGTTACTGTTTTTGTGGGTATGATAGGGGAAGCTGAGAGGATCAAACGGTGTAAAGGTCGAGTCTTTGCGCTGCAAGACGAGCCAGAGGTGCCACGAGTCTGGCTACCTTTTGATGATGCTCCTGGATTGGCCATGGCCAGGGCGTTTGGTGATTTCTGTCTAAAAGATTATGGAGTCATTTCGATACCCGAGTTCACTCACCGTGTTCTTACAGACAAAGATCAATTCATTGTTCTTGCCTCGGACGGAGTAAGTAACCAAGTGATATTATCTTACCTCTGAGCGTCAAGACAAAGACTTTACTGCTCTGAGCGTCAAGACAAAGACTTTACTGATATATGGGCTTTTACTGAACAGGTTTGGGATGTGTTAAGCAACGAAGAAGTGGTTGACATTGTAGCTTCAGCTTCAAGCCGAGCATCAGCAGCTAGGATCCTGGTGAACTCGGCTGCCCGCGAATGGAAACTGAAGTACCCGACTTCGAAAATGGATGACTGTGCAGTGGTGTGTCTGTTTCTCGATGGGAAGATGGATTCTGAGTCGGATTACGATGAACAGGGCTTTTCGTCAGCCACAAATGCAGTAGAATCAGATGATGGACAAAGATCAGATCCATCTCTCCAAAGAAACTTCACAGTTAGATCATCATCAGATCAAGAAAATGATACTTACGGTACTGTGAATACAGAGACTGATGCAGAGGATGAGAAAACGGTAAGTGATCAAAACTGGTTGGGGCTAGAAGGCGTCACACGCGTGAACTCACTCGTTCAGCTTCCGAGATTCTCTGAAGAGAAGTCGAAGACTCGAGATTAGCTTTTACTGTTATTTCCGAGAACTGATCTTGAAAAAAATGTGTAATGTGGTTATTATGCCTGAGAATTGTGAGTAGATTGGTCTG